GGAGGTATTGTGAAAGGATTTCTCTGCCGGGTCTTACAGAGATATGGGGAGAATATGACAGGCAGAGTTTAAGAGGATGACTTCCAGGCCAAGAGAGTAGTTTGAACAAGGGCACAGAGGGAGAAAATTGTAGAGTAGACATTTCTTTTGCTTAGCTGTAGCCATGATATATTTGTAATCATACCTCTTTTTAGAATCGTTATTCCACAGTGCCACCCAGTCATATTAATCTGTTCTCAAATTTAAGACTTATTTGGTAAATATAAAAGTGCAGTTTGGTTGGTGAAGTTCCAATGAAAACCTTTTTGATAAACTCAGAAATGAGAGTGCATGATTACTAACGGCCTGAAGAGAACCGCTGGGCTACAAATTAAGTTTCCTTTCTTACCCCAAGATCTCGGGAATTGTCTACATGAACAGATACGTAGCGGGCGTTGATTCCTTTTACACAGTTGATGGTGATGTTCTTAGTTTTGTTTTTATCTTCATCTCCTGATTCCCAAAAGGTTTCTGTGGAACCGTCTGTCAAACTTCCAATCATGGCAGGTCGGCTTGAAGTTTTTATGTCAACAATGCTGGTTAAGTCCTTTAAGCACATTACTATGCATAATTCCTACCAGAAACAAATAAAAGTAATTATAATACTCAAATGGAAATCTCCCATAATAAAACAAACATGAGATAAGAAAAGAATCGAATTGTTTATGAGTAGCTTTCAGCTTCTCCTTCGATATACTGTTGATTATTAACAGGATAATACAGGGTGTTAGATGACTGACCTGATTCATAGCTTCAAAGCCAGACTGTATACTGATGCTAAAACTCTCTTCACTATCGCCATCATCTGATTTTGACAGAATATTGTTAATGTGATGAAACACGTTGCTCTGATGGAGGAACTGGTGATCAGACTGCTTGAATTTCAGACTCCAGCATCTAAAAACGCATAAGCAATAGCAATATGTTAAATAATTCTTTTCTAAGAATTTCAAAGGAATTCCTGTAAAAAAGTACTCTGTAGCTAATATTTCAAAAAACATTAATGATCTAAACATAAAAAACCTTAATGAGGTAAACAAAAAAAAGAAATTGAAAAAATTCAGGGAACAAAAATCATTGCTACCAGACTTTTTTTTTTTTTTTTTTTAATAATAAAGGTAATTTCTTTGGAACAAGGTAAGCTCTAAGCAAAGTTCACTCATTTTAAATATAGAAAAATTAAATACATGAAGATCAAGGCTACAAAAGTAAAAAAGGTAATAAGTCAGTTTTGCAAACAAGTGTTACCCCCAACTATAACAGCCTCTCAAATTTATCAGTCTTATGTTTTCATACGAATTTATTGGAGATAACATATCTTATATTTCAAAAATCTTGTGAGGAGGAAACAAAATCTTCCCTCTGCTGGACTTATCATTAGGGATGTGGGTGGCCAAAATCACTCTACCAACCTATCTCTTACAAAGATCAATGGAGAATTTATGTATATGTGTAGTTTCTAGTATGTGGATCTAATAACAAGGTTCACAATGTAAAAGTAATGTTAAAATCTCAGCAGGTTTGGATTTAAAAAGAGGTGATGCTGCTCAAGGTAGTTTTAGGACTGGATGCACGTAACTAGGCACCATTTTTCTTAAGATTCTTTTCAATTCAAAATTCTATTTTGATTTCTGTTTTTGAGATTTCATTCTTCCTCTCCCTTCGTTGTGACATTTAAGAGTCTACTCTTCAGCAGCACTCAGACAAGTGATTTGGGTTAGGGGAGAGGGAAAGGGAGGAAAATTGGTACAGACTGTGGACACGTAGAGCACTAAGAAGTATATTATCCACATTTTACACAGAGACAAACAGGTGTGAGCTAAGAGGAACAATGCTAAATTATGGCAGTAGCGAGGGAAGCATTGTTCACTTAACGCAGGGATTCTTTATATTTTATGATTAAAAGAGGAATTCCAAGCATTTTGAGTTTTGAATACTCCATAAAATCGCTTCTCCAATGTACCTAGAATACTTAGATATAAAATTACCTTAGGGCCATTTGCTGTAATGAACTGCCACTGGGGAGAGACATCATGAGATCGGAAATAGTTTGAAGCAGGCGGTGAAATGTATGTGGTAAAGGATGAGCAGCTTCACCTGCGATCACTATGTCTGAGAGTGGATGTTCACATACTCTTGTATCTTTCTCCTAGGACAGAAATTGAAAACAAATTGATCAGTCTGTGTGCAAAAAGAAATTTAACCCACAAAAGAATCTATGTATACTTAAAAGCATTATGTATACTTTCAAAATAATTGTGTAACAGAAATGTAAACAATAAAACCAAACCATGCCCAAAACATACATTAACTAATTATGTATATATTATTTTTAGGAAAAAAAATGATAAGGTCACTCAAATAAAATCACCAAACAAAAGAATATCACATGTAAGTATCCACTCTAGTGTATTTACAAATCCATTAGCAGGGTGAATATATATGTGTATGCAGAAATGAGCCACTCCTCTCATTTGAGCCTGACCTAAATCGTTAAGGCAAAGAATTGTGAGCCAATAAACAGCTGTTTCATTCCAGTGAGTTTTGGGGTGGTTAGTTATGCAGACAAAGATAGCTGCTATAGGTATGTGACAATCTCCCATTGTAACGGTGGATTTTTTCTATTTTCCTTGCAGTTCTGTCAATTTTTACTTATTTGTTAAGGTTCTATTTTTAGGTACATACTAGTTCAGAATTAATCTTTTATCATTTTGTAGAAAGCATCTTTCCCCTTACTAATAATTTCTTTTGAAGTACATTTTCCCTGATATTAAAATAGCTGTACCAACTTTATTTTGGTTGGTATTTATCCAATATATCTTTTTCTTACCTTCGATTTTTAATCTTCCTGTATAATTGTTTTAGATGTGATGCTTATAAAAAACACCTAGCTTGTTTTTTTAATTTTATCGATTCTGATAGTTTTTGTCTTTTAAATAGATATTTAGTCCTCTAATTTTATTCCACAAATGGCAATGAGGGTCACAAGTCATATAGTTACAGAGGTAAATATGGGGTTTCTAGTGTCTTGGTTCAATGTTTTTCCATTGTACAGGCTATCTCCAATAAAATCAAAGTCTCTTTTAAACAAACACATTTGAATACACAACCCTACATCATTTTTACTCTTTGCTATCCTACAGCAATGTTGTCTAGTAGACTGATCTATGAATAATGTTGCCCTGTTTACCTGTCTTGCATTGTACTGTATGTTATCTTCTGGTTGATTGCTTCATGACAATAATGCTTCGTGAGAAAACAGAACTGACTGGCAGCATTTTTGCTAAAGAGAAAATTTTCACTAAATATAGTTAATATGCTGCTCACAGCATTGAAATTTAATTCTTGTCCTTAGGTTATATAATCTGTGCATGACTTCATGCAAATTATAGTACTATCTGAAGGTAGTTCTCTTCTTTAAAAATATGAACAATTAAGAAAACAAAAATCTCACTCACTTGTTCTGCACTTTCTTTATTTGTTTTATTTTCCTCATCTTCTTCTTCTTCTGGTTCCACTGGAGCGGGAGTCAATGATGCCACAAAATGCCACAGAATATCATGGAGAGAAGTTGTTTGGATGACATTACATAAAAGCCAGTTGAAAGCCTGAATAAATAACAGTTAAATGAGTCCAAGATAAAAAGAAAACATAAGAGTAAAAAATGCAGGTTTTTTCTTATTCAGAAACATAGTACCTCCATGGACTAAATGTTTCAAGGAAAGATACTAGGAAGTCTGACCTTCATTTCACTGAAAACACATTGAACTTGAAACAGTCATTAACTTTGGTCCTAATTTTAAAAAACAATAAGAAAAATGATACTAAGGAAATTCAATACCAAAATACTTTTTTGAACCATTTTTTGTTTCATAAATGTTTTAATACTAATTTACTCAAGCACTTTTTTTCCAACTTGCTTTTAGGATCAACATAAAATGTTTCTCAAGTTCTATACAAGCTACCACTACTTAAATGTAGTTGTATTGTTCCCATCAATGAAGCGGCAGGTTATTTATCACATCTATGATAAAGAAAAAGGTTTACTATACACAAGTCTATGACATACAGCAATCTTATCACTTCCAGAGAAGAGACGCAGACAAGTTATATTATTCAATATAATTCATCCCTTTACAGGGTCAGTCTAACTGAAATGACATTACTATTACAAAAAACTTTTGTAAAAAATAATATCGGGATTCAAATAAAGCAATATAGAAATACATTTCTTTCTAATGCTTAAATATGGAAGTCTAAATTCATTTATATTCCTAAACTTAAGAGTTTAATTTTGATGTGAACACTTGATATTTTTTTAATTTGTCGCTATTTGTTTGGTAGAAGTGACATCATTAAACAGAATCATCATATGATTTGTATGCTCAATGAATGAATAACCCCATTAATGTATTCGTACCTCCATAGCAAAAACTCGACAAGCAGATTTCCTTAAGGCCTGTTTCATTGCTATTTCAAGACCTTCTAGATCATGATGCTGTATAACAAAAGCTAAAACTGGCCACTGGAAATTTCGTTCTCCTTTGGAAAGAGAGCTGTGGGCTGAGATTAGCCGGGAAAGCTCAGGAGATGGATGTCTCAGGAGGGAAGAACCAACTTCTATTTAAAAAAAAAAAAAAAAAAAAGTATTAATTTTCATCGGCAATACCTATGATTATTTAAGATGTTATTTAAATATAATAGTATCTGGCTTATTCACTTTAGAACCTTTTGTTTTTTTTTTTTTTTTTTTTGCATGTGACACAAATCATAATAACTTTAATTTTTAGTGAGGCACAGAAAGATTAGATTTCCTAAAGTCATACAGCTATTAAGTTGTAGAGATGGGTTTTGAATCCAGGACTATTCCTGGATTCAAATATATCTCATCCCTATCATTTTCTAAAGGACTGATTTATAACAAAGGTGTCTCAACAAGAGCTCAAAAATATTTGTTAAATGAACCTATAAATCATTGGAGGATGCTCAGTATTTTCCTTGAAGATTGTCAATAAGATACAAAATCAGCTACCTATAAATACTAGGCAAGATCTTCATTTTAATAAGTGATGTTTTCTTCGCTTTCTTTCTTTACTCTTGAGACAGAATCAACCAGCCCCAATTTGGGGCTGCAGATACTGGTTGGTTCAAATTATCTAACTTTTTTACTGAATAAGAGCTATTTAAATCTCTGAATTTTAACATCTATTCAGAGTGGTAATGGCTGTAAGAGTTAGAAAATTCTATTGGGAGTGAGAAGATAATTGTGAAAGTGTAAGTCACTGGAATTGCTGGTTCACTGAGGCTTAGTGGAAGGGTAACAGTAGCAACATTTGGCTTACACACCTAACAGGTAAGATTTTAAATATCTATTCTTGAATAATCACTAAATGATCTCTGTGTGTCTTTTCCAACTGAGATGTAAAATTCAGAGAATTACAGCTATGTCACATAGAAGGAATGTCTATCACAAATTAAAATTAATCTATTTCTTTCCTTTCAAAAAACAGATTTAAAAAAATATCTGCAAATAAAATCACTTGGATCATTCAAACTTCCTTTTTATCTTTATATTTACCAGTGTCTCCACTGTTAACTCTTCTTCTAGGAATGGCTTTAACTCGTGCTGGTAAAATGGAGTGCTGCTTATCATACTCAGAAGCGACAACTGAGTATGATCTTTGGAAGACAGTTCTCTTTGCGAGATCAGTGTCAGTTATGGGACTAGTTTCCAAACTGCAGATAAAACAAGAAGGACAGATAGGAAAAGTAAATGAAGTGAAACCGTATTTAGTTTATAATACTACAGACAAATACGTGAAATTTTTCATATGGAAAAACAGAAATTCAAAGCCAACTTGACATTCTCTCTTTAAATAATAATCTGATTTTTCCAAATACAGTTAACATTTTAACTGATTTTTGATCTGTATCTTAAAACTTTTGGTTTTCATAAATCTGCTTTGCATTTTAAATGAAAAAAAGAAAAAAAAAAAAGGGCACCAAAAGCCCAAAGCTCCTGTCAGAATCAAAAGCACTGTGGTAAAAGTCATGTGTCATGACATTCAGGAAAAACAGGCAAATATATTGATAAAAGCACTGAACAGAAAGAAAATGGACATGTAAATACAGAATGCTAATAAAACGGAAAGTGAAACGATTCAGTTTTCTTTGGTACTTGAGTGTTCGATTAGGTTTCTCTTTCTTGAGAAGTGCTGCCCAAAGCCTGTTCTAGAGCATGGCCGCATCAAAGTGTATTGAGAGGTAACAAACTGACTTTCGGCATCAGAGTTAAATTATACTTACAGTCTATATAACAATCCAGTGATTTTCATTCAGGTTTACGTAAACTAACAATTTTCCCATTGACTACAGCAATATTAAAAAAAAAAAAACACTTGAAAAGTTAGTAGGATGGTTGTATAATATCCTTCATTAAAGTGTTTTATAAAAAAGAGAAATACCTTCTCTTACTTTTTCTCTAAGACAAATTTGCAAACTATTCTTTTAATGTATTCTTTCTGCTGTTGCCTCATTCCAAATTGGGCAATTTTTGCTCACCTTGAATTCTGGAGTTGTTTCTTTTCCATTATTCAAGACAGGTGTGAATCCTATGGCCCTCAATAAAGCTGATATATTTGCTAGTGTATAACTCCCTCCCTGTCCATTTTCTTTAGTCACCACCTCTCTAAGTTATGTATGTTCTTGTTTGTATATTATGAACGTTATACACAAATGACTGGGTAAGTATGCCTGGATGTCAGTTTGGGCTGTTTAATTCACTTTCTATATAGTGTTACTGTAAAGCAGAAGATATTTGTTCTGCTTTCAGAGGAAGTTGATCAACTTAAAAAAAAAGTGTTAATACAACCTAAAAAATAATGAATAGTTCTTATAAAAATGATCATGTTTGTGAAAAACTCAAGCAACAAAAGAAAACCCAAAAGAAGCAAAGACGACCATAATTAACTCAACCTCTGCTACCCTGGGCCAGATAATTCCTTGTTGTGGGGCTGTCTTGTAGACTGTAGGATGTTTAGCAACATCCTTGGCCTTTAACCACTAGGATGCCCATTGAACTAGACCAGTTGTGAAAGACAAAAATGTTTTCAAACATTGCCAGATGTCACCTGGGAGGCAAAAATCACCGCCGCTGCCCCCCGCCCTATTGGAGACCAGATTTAATGGCTTCATTACCCATCACCTTTTACAATAGCCTGAGTTTGCCAAGACTTTTAAGAATAGCTCAAAGGCACTCCATTCCCTTATCTAATCTATTGGATGCCTTAGAATGTTTTGACCTGGTTGAATATAAAACGCTTGGGTCATAGTTTCTTTTATTCAGAATTCTGTGAAAATTACGCTTACGTGTATAGTGTAATTTTATTAATCATTTGATTTGATTAATCCATAAATAGGTTCTAATGTTCCCAAGATCTTTTCTATTTGAGCATGTCTAACTGGTTGGGTAAAACTTCTAAGCGAGTGTTTTCTTTCTTTTGGAGCTTTAGAGGTATTGTTTCATTCTTTTTTTTTTTTCATTTAAAGTTATTATAGGAAAGTCTGAAGTCAGTCTAACTTTTTCCTTTTGTGAGATGATGTGTTTTTCTCTGCACAGATACTTGAAAAAAAATTTTTTTCCCCTTGTAGTTTCAATAACTTAAGCTATTTCTTACATTCACCTGTTATGAAAATTTCCTTTTAATCTAGAAATTCAGTCTTTATTATTTTGGGACATTTCTTCTTGTAGAAAATTATATTAAATAACTTTTTATATTATATTTGTTGATTTTTCTACTTCACTGGTAAGTTATTCTTATGTTGGACTATCCTATTTCCATACCTGTTATCTTGGCTCTAATTGCTATAATCTTTTTGTCCTTTTTCTCTTTATTCATTGTAATTATCTCAAACTTTTCCTTCATGTTAATAATTCAATTTCCTATTCTAAATATTTTAAATTTATTAGTCTTATAATGGTGTTGATTTGGTCTTCAGCCTGTCCTCTGCAATGTATCTTTTTACTTCATTCTGCTTTTTATCTCATTCTAACATTTGAGCTTTTGTTTTATTAAACTTATGTAATTATCAAGTTTTTCAGTACTACAGAGTACTTAGGGAAATTTTCTTTTTTTTCCTTGAGAGTTTTCTTCAAACCGGCTTCTTCATCTGACTTACGCATCACACTATTTTCATTTTGCTAATGCTTAAAGTGGGCAGCTCTTTTTGATCTTCTATTTGTTCTAATAAAGTATGGGTGGATTTCTCTAGATTTCCTCTCCCACAATATTTGACACTTGTTTTATTTCCCTCCCAGAGAAAAACTGGAGACTTTATTGAATATTCTGTACCAGGAACCATTCCACCTAGTTGATGTGTATCATGGCAGTATTCGCTGGGACTGTGGATTGTTGCTCTGCTTCAGCGTGGAGACGTGGAAATCAGGGTTCTCCAGGAGATTTCCAACTTCTGTGACACTAGTGATTATACTAGGGGTCCTTACACTGGAGGATTCTACCTTGACTATGACATTCTATGAAACACGGAATATTCTGTGATATTTTTCATTTCACTATCTTTACCTAAAAGTTTAAGCCACTTGATTTTGATCCTAAGAGTTAAAAATAACTTGATGAATCATATTTATCAGTCTAGTCTCAAAATGGTTTCTAATTCTTAAAAAAAACAATGTCTCCTTTAGAGACACTTTATTACCTTTAAAGATATAAAAGGCTGTACTATATCCTTTGGAGAAAATTTCAAGAGCAGCTCCAAAAAATACTCTGATGAATAATCCTCATAGTTGGGAGGGAAAGTTGCAAGTATTTTCATTGGAAAAATAGTCATTTGGATATATAAGTTCTCTTATACTAGTATATAATTGTAACTGTATAAGTATTAACGTCATGGCATATCTTAATAAGCAGGATCTTTCTTCCTTCAGCAAATGACTTCCTTTCCAATGATATGTTCGGTTATTCATGAATGAAATCTTGATACTATTCTAAACTTAGCCTTTTCATTATCCAAGTTAGTCAATAAGTCACATTGATTTTCCAACAAAACATTTTATCCAGCTTTTTTTCATAATCATTGCCAACGTAATCCAATTCTACACAGCTAGCCAAAATCTTTGACTAAATTTATTAGATCCTTAATTGACTTCTAGGACTATCCTTGCAGTTTTATCATGTCATTCCTCCTCTAAAAAGTCTCAGTGGTACCCTACTTCCCTCTGCATTAAATTTACGCGTTTCTGTTCAGTTTTCAAGGAGCTCGTTACTTTGATACTACCGAACGTAAGTGTGAGGGAAGGAGAGAGTGTAGAGGAGGACTGTAAGCGATAATCCAAGATCAAGATTTATTTTAAGTGTTACTTCTTCCATGAAACCTCTAAGCAAGCCTCAAAGTGATCCTTCTCTAGTCTGATTTACTACAGCACTAAATAACATAATATCATATAACAGAATGTTTTATCATCACTTCATTATTTGGTCTTTTCTCTCCAACCAAGTCTGCCTCTGCAATCAAGGACTTTACTTCATTTATGTATGTACACTTTTTCTTACTGCTCTAATAGCTAGCAGAACTGACCCAACGTCCTTTCTGAGATGGAAAGATGTACAAAAGGACTTCTAGAGCATTCTTTTCTTTCTTCTACCAAACACTGGCTATTCAACAGAGAGGAGAGAACTCAGATACCTTGGTGGCATAGACTTCATATTGCTCTCTGGCTCTTCAAATACATTAGGACTTGCATCAGGAGTCACTGATATGTATGGGGCAGGTACAGATGTTGAACGTAGATATCTCATTTCATCCTGGAATAGGTTGTCATCTTGATAGCCTACAAAATTTTCATGATGATGCCTGCATTAAATCAAACCAAATAAGTTTAGGTATGATGGCAAGACAGATTCTATTTTTAATTTCCTTTGTGAAAGTAAAAGCAGCACATGTAAATCTATAAGGGTGAAGTATTAAAATAATCTTGATGTAAGCAGGAGGACATAAAAGTCTGACAATTTTACATGTAGATATTCCAGGTACCACGGACATTTTAAATTGAAAGTAAATCTCATTTTCTATCCTTTTGAGAACTTTTCTGTCTTCCAGTGCTTCAGTGGATGATCTTGCCAACTATTTAGGTGCCTAAGCTAAAATATCTCAACCATGACCAGTTACTCAGGCCCCTGAATACTAGGTTTCCTCTGTCAACCATTCTCTCTTCTCCATCATCACTGCTTTGGGTTAGGCTCATGTTTCTTGCATGAACCAGTGATATACAGTCACTTTTTTGGTAGGAACATATATAGGAGTCAAATTTGAGAAAGATTATAGCTATATGAAATGTTTCATGAGGTAGGGGAGTGTCCATTTTCCAGAGAGCTAAATATATAAAATATATAATTATTGTGTGCCAGCACTCTTATGTTTTACAATTTGATTCTTTCCTTTTCAAACTGGGACAAAGAGTTATTAACCTAAGTCTACCAAATGGTCTGACTGAAGCTAAAGATTTGTTGCATTTGGCATAGCTGCTTTCCACCTCAGTTTCAAATGTATTTAGTCTTGCATTTTCATTTTTGTTTTCCATTCATTTTAATGAAATAGTAAGTACAAATGTAAAAAAAACAAAACAAAACTACGTAACTCCGCTATATAAAGAGGACAACATTGCCAAAATGGAACTGTTGGCTGGCAAGTCATGCCAGCAGGCAGTATCTAGAAATCTTCGTTAGTCAGCTGTAGAAAAAAATCTGAATTTCTATGACAGGCTGTTTTAGAGTGTCACTTTTTAATGTATAAAAGTACAGTTTTTAGCACCCAAGTCCAATATAGGAAAATAGCATACTATTAACAGACTTCTCTCCATCTTCACTTATACCCTTTTATTCAGTTTCCACTTTCGTAGCTGAGTGACCATCTACATGCAAGCCAGTTCATGTATTTCCCTGTTGAAAATTACTCCATTGTTTTCTCTATGGGATGAAATCCAACCTTAGCATGGGCGACAGGGCTCGGCGTTACACAGTCTTGCGTAACCACTTCTAGTGGAATTTCATATATTCTTCCTAGTAGCCAGTGCTTTAACAAGCCTGTGATTCCTGAAGTGTGTAATGCTATTTCATCATCTGCGTCTTCACATATGTGATTTACTCTGTTAGGAACTGCTTTCCTCCCATTACCTGCTTGATCAACTTCTATTTATCTTTATACTCTAGTAAAGTATCAGCTCTTCTGGGGAACCTTTCCCGACTTCCTTGGGAAGATGCAGAAACTCTTCATCTTTTATGCTCTGACAGCATCCTGTACATACTTCTATTATCGCAGTCATCACATAATATTTAAATATTTCATTTACATGTCTGTCTTCCCACCAGTGTGAGAACACACAGAAGTCAGGATTTTATTATAATCATCTTGGTGTCTTCAAGGTCTAGCACAAAGCTGGTAACCAGCTGGTACTCATTTAAATGCTACAGAATGAATAATTTAAAAAATGAAGTCTCTTTCCACTTTAGCATATCCTGCTATTAACAGAATGAAGTCAGTCTACCAAAGAGTAAAAGACAGCTAAAGTCTTACTTTCTAAGACATATATTGTATTAATAATTAATACAAATTGACATAGTATTTACAGGTTTTTTTTTTAAAAATCTACTACCACACTACCACAAAGTATACCCTACCAGTCAGTGTTGGTCAAGGCAACTCAGAAAATGAATTCCTGGAGGTCTCTTTATTGTGCACAATACGTACTACAGTATGAGTATTCAGAGCATGATATTAGTTAATTAACAATAGCTGTTAATCCAAAGTGATTAAATAAAACAAGCAAATTATATTACCTAGCTAATGTCTGCAGGTAGAGACAGGGCATTTTAACGGGAAGATCCTCAGAGATGCCCTCTTTCACGCTGGGAAGCTGTGACTGGAATGGCTTTGCAGGATGGTAACACAGAATGCTCGGTTCCGCCGCGCTGCTCAGAGACAGCAGGAAGAGGGCATTTGCTTTAATCACCTGGTGAGCTTCCATAGTGGGCAAGGCACGAGGAGTCTTGACTTGCATCGGCTTCCTCCTAGATTGTTTGACCTGGCAAAGAAAAATTTGTAGTGATATTTTCCTATTCAAGTTCTTAATTTCTTAACCTAAGTATGTTGAGTTTCTAATAAAAGTTATTAAACACTTGTAGAACCATTTAAAAATAAGTGATTACCAAAAATGACATTCACTTCATGCTTCTCTTGGAATGAATGAAACTATACTGAATAAAAACTATATTTCTTTTCTTTCTTTGGGAAAATTAAAAACCTAACCAGTAAAATCTAAATGTAACTATTTTTAAAAAAGAGTAAATAATCTGTGTGGGTGTGTATAAATTCTGCAATAAGTTTTAGTTAGGTGTGCTACTAGTGTAAGTGATCTTGAATTTCCATGAGACCTATAACATGATTAACGATTAAGAAAAAGAAACAGGAGGTAAAGAGTAGAAAATGAAAAGGAAAGAGAAAGAGAGAGTTAAGACAGAGGAAAGTGAAGAGTCTAAGTGCAGAGTAGTAAAAATGAAGAATTAAACAATAAACGTTTGTCAATATACCACATATACCACAGGTCAGCTGTTTTGTGTTATTCCAAGATATAATTTATTTTTGTAACAAAAACAGCTGATCTAGTACGAATATTAAATTTGTATGTTATTCCTGTTATAAAGCTGATCTTTAATATCAGCTCTGTGGAGTTATGTTATAATATGATCATAAAAAGAAATTTTTATAAGGTTTATTCTTATCATTAATGGTGTAGCCAGATTAAAAATACCTTTTCCCTCGCGGCAGCCTGTTTTTCACGGAGGTATTTTTCTCTACAGCGATCACATACCAGGTACCAGGTGCTTCCTCCTATGCCACCGTCACCACAGTTTCCAGCCCATCCTCCACAAAAATGCCCAATGCTATTGTAACCTTGTCCACCAGCATACCGGCCACAACCTTGAAACAAGAACGAAAACAAATAGTTAATACTTTAAGTGTCCTTAGTAGTCTGATCATTGCCACTTACATATTAATGACAGATTTACCTTCTCGAAGTAAGCAAAATCTTGAAGCAAGTATCTTTTTTTTCTTTTTTCAGGCTATTAACCATATTAGAAAAATAGCATGCTTTGCCGAAAAGTAATCAAATGACGCCTAAAATACTCCACAGAGCCAGATGAAAGGAGGTGTAAGAAGTGGGGACATTTAGATTTATTTTAGTATGTGAATAAAATTAAACAAAATAGGTATAAAATGTTCTGTAAGAATGATATATTTTAAGGAATCATATTTTCTAAAAGGTTTCAGGTATAATATATAACAGAGAAAAAAAATTAACCAAACTTATACTAGGTGAATTTTGGAAAGCTAATCAAGTGTTACAGAGATCCTTACATTTATCTAAAACATAATTTTGTGATGAAACAGTTACTATCACTTCCATTGGAAAATGCCCAGAGAAATACTCTTAATTTGCAATTTTGGCCAAGAAAACACTAAAATCAAAGGAGACCTAATTTTGGGATCTTTCCTGAGCGTATAGACATGTTGTTATTTCTACTGTGTGAGATACCTTAACAGCACCCTTTGGATAACACATAAAACATTTAAAAAATAAACAATATTTCAGAATGTAATACATTCAGATAAAATAGTACTAAATTGCCTTATCACCATACTAATAGAATTTCTTTACCTATTTTTCATAAAAACCTATATTGACAATGAACTTTAATAATTACGTCATAAGATTCTATAAAGTCTTCACAAGTTTCCCTGTTTTTTAACATAATTTGTACAACAGCTCAAGTCAGAAGTTACGTAGTCCATTTTTTTACACACACTACTCATATATATATATCCAATAATATCATTTACCTGGGTGAGCTTGCCTCATGTGATATGTCACTGGGTATGGATGTGACTCTCCACACAGCTCACAGATGGTATCTTTCTCTGGTCCTCCTACTGCCAGCTGGGCCATCTCACCAAATAAATTACCCCTGGGCCGAACTTCTGCCTTTTCTTTTTTCTTTTTCTCTTTTTTGGACTTCTTTCTCTTTTTCACGCTCTTTCTTTTTAAGGACTGCACAAGAACCAGGACTTGGGAAAATCATATTCTGGGAAGCCGCTTTGATAGTAGCCAAAGAGATGTCTTCCCAAAAAGCCACTAAGTGTTGTAAAGTTAAGGGAAGAGGAGATTTAGATTTCATTGGGTGATGCATGGACATTTCAAAAGTGGCTTCGGTTTTCCCATCCTCACATTTTTCATGCAGAGGTGGCTCCTTAAGCATAGACAACACCTTATTTTTGTTGATACTACCCATTTTGGATATATCTGGTCCATGAGGTGCGATATTAAACATATTCAGTGCAGATGATATTTCCAGTGAGTGTCTATTTTTTAATTTGGTTTCCTTTTCTTCCGTAGGTTGTTGACTGTTTAAACTACTTCTTATAGGAGCATGTTCTTTAGAAAGTTCAGGATTAAATTTTAAGAAAGAAGAACAAGCCATTGCATCGTGTACTATGCCTTCGTGCCACAGGAAAGAGGCAAAGACCGCTCTGGCACACTCAGCCACGGAAGGGGACATGGCTTGCTTGGCTGGCTCAACAGGTTTGGATCCATCTCCTTTGAAGAGAAAGCTAGATTTTTCCTTTTTGGGCCTGGTGTGCCTGTTAGCACATTTTCGACTTATTTTGGGGGATGCTCTTATGTCCTGTTCATCTTTCAGTGGGGCTTTTCCTATGCTGAAATGGACTTTATTGGAACCCTCATCCACGCTCTTAAATTCACTGCTGTCGTCACAGGCGCCATCTGTTAGACTGTTTGTTTTTAAAGTACTTGAGGTGCAGACTTCTACCACCTCACTGTGCAGGTTTTCCTGCACCACATGGGGAGAAGGAGCCCTATTTTCAGATCCAGGGGACTCTTTTGAATCCTTTGGTACTGGTTTTGGTTTCGGTGATGTTGATCGTCCCCTTAACGGTTCTGTGAGGGGCATTTTCTTCTTGCGGAGGGTATCTGGATCGAGTGTATAAGAATCTGATTTGGAACGTTCTCGAGGAGGATCAAGTTTTGTCTTAACAGGAGCAGTGCTTTTCTGAGGTAGATTTTTATCATGTGGTGAGGAGGAGCGTGGAGAACTAGCACCAGATGGGCTAGACCTGTTGGTTGGGAGAGTCTTTGGCTTAGGAGAAGATGACCGAGAACCTGGTCCTGGGGATTCAGCTCTGAAGCTAGAAGACATCCTCCCGTCAGATTTCAGGGTCTGCAAGGTGTTATGGTTGGGCGACAGTGACCTACTATGAGAATCTGACCTCAGCTTTGCAGCATCAGATTTCAACATGAGGGATTCACTAGCGGATAAACCCTCCGTCCCCCTTAGCTTCTTCTGATCAGCTGTAGTCCGGCTCATACGTCCATCAGGTTTAAGTGATCTGCTGTGTTTGGAGGACAGTTCTGATTTTCCTGATGTAGAAACTGGTCTAGAAGACGTTGAGACAATTCCTCGGTCACCTGTATGATCCATTTCATAGTAAAACTTGTTAATAAAATTATAACTTATGGATAATTCAGTAATAAAACACTGAAATACAAAATATAGCTAAAAATTTTAGCTTGTCAGAGACAAAAATACTTGAAGAATAAAGGAGAAAAAGGAAATATTTCTTATAAAATTTCTACTACTACACAACTCTTTCCACCAAAAACAATCTTCACAGATGTAAAATAGACAACAAATAGTACCTATGCACCGGTGTGGTTTTCTGTCATATGTGAACCTCGGCCTTAGTACAATAATTAACGAGAAATTAAATTCAGTGAGGGACTAGAAAGAAAAAAACATACCTAATTTTTTTGGAATAAAAAATTATGAAAACCTGGATTTTTAAATATAAAGTGTATTTCCAGTTGAATGATACCTCACATCCTTATTAGAGTAATAGTGCAGATTCTTGTTGAATTAGGAAACCTAATTTATAACTAGATACATTTATCATTTTGAAGTACACAAATAAATACATTCAGTCTAATAAAGAGCTGCTCAGGAGACACTCTATTTGAATGACTGGCTTAGAATAATTTGTAAATAAATACGAATGCCCAAAGGTTATTATTTAATTACATGAAATTCAGGCAGTCTATTTTAATAAACAGATTCTATTCTAAAAGGTTATTTAGTTCACTCTCTTAGCTGTTAGAACTCAAGCTTGGTCCCTTTGGAAAAAAGGGGATCCTCTGAATTAGTAGTACAAGTCTGAATTGTGGGGGTCTTGAAATAGGAAAATAATAAACATAGAAAAAGTATTCTACCTCTTTTGGAGGCAAAGCACTAGATATTTCTACATGAACACGTGTGTGTGTGTGTGTGTGTGTGTGTGTGTGTGTGTGTGTGTGTGTGTGTGTCCAGACCCTCATTCAGTGTTTCTCCTTCTTACTATTTCATACTTTGCTTTGAGCCAGGTTGTCTTTGTCTCCAGTAAATAGTACAACCTACAGCATTACCTTTCCTCCCTAAGATAAAACTCCTACTCTTAATGCAAGTGGTATTAGTCAGTTGTTAGGAAAAAAGCAATCTGATTAGAGTAATTCATGTGGTATGAAAAACTGAAAATCCATAAAGCTTGCTATAAGTATTTATATATTTCTAAAAAAGATACCTAGTAAATTGAGATACATCTGTTGACTGGTTACATTGCAGGTATTTCTTTTTTTATTTTTGGAAAAGAGATGTGAATACATTTGAATAACATTATGATCTAGCTTGCTTGTGTGTGTGTGCATGCACGTAAGCACACATGTGTGTCTGCAGTCACACTCTGGTTATCTATAGGTCAAGACAGTACTGCCAGAGAAACCGCCCTCCTAATGGAAGGTCCACAAGCACTGGGATTTTTGTTTATTACTCTTCACTGATGTAATGTTAAAAATGGGTCCTGGGATATAGTAAGTGTTCGATAAGTATCTGTTGAATGAGTAAATGAATTCTTATTTTCTTAATGTTTTTTCTCCTGTAAGTCTCAAATCTTGATTCTCCCAAAACCCACTTTTTATAATTATGGCTCCCTTCAAGGCCACAGGGTAGAGGAGACAGTAGTCATTGTTGTTTAAGGGTAAGAAACTTGCAAGTTGAGTAATTCTGTAGTAAAATGACAAAGTATGGCAAATGGCCAATTCAAGGCATGCTGGTGAACTGAATATTTCTTTTAACTGCAACATGCCAGTGTTTAGAATAATTACTCTCATTCTTTGGATGAACAGAACTACTAAATATAATGCACTTCCATTTCTTGCAATTCTTTATTGTTCTATCATGAATTTCATTTATTTTATATGTGTTCTTTTTATAAAAGCAGCTAAAGAGACTGGGGAATAGTCAGGAGAAAAGGGGTGAAACAGATCACAATGTAGAAAAAAATCCCAAATACTGATGCCGTCTTAATAGAGCACAGATGAAAAGATGTTACGATCTTGACAAGTGCTCTCAAGTTCCGTATAAGTAGTTTAAGAAATTGCTGCCCATCTTTTCGCCTAGTAATAGATCCATAGAGCAAATTTTATTTAAAAACATATTGAATTTGGTAGAATTAAACATCAGTCTAGTCCTTGCCACTGCTTTTGAATGTATGAAGTTGGATTACTAGTTATTTTGATACTAATCTGACAGCTCAATATGACTTCATCATCACATTTATCTAGTGAGCTGAACCATATATAATGGTGAATCTAGACAAATAAGTAGTATTTTATATCTGTAACCTCTCTCTCTAAAAAATCAATTCGTGAATTGAAGATTTGCTTTCTAAATTAATGATGTGCAGTTACCCATAAAGGAAATCTCTGTGATTGGTTAAACAAGAGAATCTTTCAAATATCAAGAACACCACTTGTCATATGGTAGCAAAAGCATTAGAGAGCTTTGGAGAGTGTGGTGTTTGTATACCTTACTTCCGCACTTCAGTAGAGGTGATATTTTAAGATCTGTAAGTGGTGATAGTTGGATTCTAAGTGTGTGATAGAGGTAACCTGTTGGAGTACAGGTGCATAAATAATGTAGAATTATTTCTTTCTGAGACTTACTTGTCAAATTAGAATTAAATCCTTTTGAAGAATTTAATGTTTTTTAAAAGGAATATGTCAAGTTTGTTAAGTGTGGTAAATCTATATGATAACTGATGTTTACCTTCTTCGTTTGGATCTCTAAAGTTCTGAGGTATGTAGTAAGTATTACTAAACATTGTCATGTAGTGGTTGCTTGAAATATCAACATAAACAAATACTTTGTTAAAAATCTTTAGATCATACATAATACTTTCGCATTCATTGCTTAATTTAGTTTAATGATGATATTTATCATATATAAGTTTAAGTAATATTGACAAAATATTTTCTAACCTCTAAAAAATACTGAAAAAAAAAAAACTGGATCGGATAGAAATTTAACACATTTAAACGAATTAGCAAACATATGAAATGTTAAGTATTCATTCATTACTGACCTGCATAATTGTTTTCATACCAAAATTGTAAATCAAGTTATATGATATCACACTATAATATGCCATAATATAATACTATACTGTAATATGATATGCCATAATATATAGTATATACCTGGTTATATAACACAACATACTAAGAGATCATATTGTATAATATTATTTATTATACTACCATATAGTATCACTGTCAACTTTACATAGAAGTAAAACTGTTTTACCCATTTCTAAGAAAAAAGAAAATTAATAATTACTTGAAAAACTTATGCAGTACATTAGCTAATACTGTGCAATGTTTTGATAAAATTTTCTTAAAATACAGGATTTTAAAAGTTTAAATATTGACAATATGCGATTAGGCATGTATAATATTTTAAAAGACTAAAAGTGTATTTTTAAATTGACTAAAATTTTATCAGTTGTCAATACAGTTTAAACATTACTAAGTTTAAAATTTTTAAACTATATGATTAAGAAAATGCTATAAGGAAGATTCATGTCAGACAGGACAGGTGTGTATGTATGTATATGTGTGTGTACGTGTGTGTGTGTGTATATATATATATACATACATACGTACGTACATACATACACACACACACACACACACAAACCCTGATAACTAAGTTAAACAGAAAACTTTAAACTAATTATCAAAGTGTTTCCCATAAAAAGCTAAAATAGGAAAATAATTTTTATATTAACAGAGAAATAAGTTTAAGATTAACCTGTCATATAAGATAATATGTTCTCATGGATCACAATGTGCTTTATTACTTATATACATATCATCTTGTTTTGATAATAATGATTTTACAACTCCCCAAGTCAGGCATTTCTTTCTATATACTACCTATTTTATTTTTTAAGACTTCATATAAGGTTTAAAATTAAATAAGGGTAATATTTACCCAACAGCTATGGTAAACATGCATATCAAGATAATCAGTACTATAATAATGAACAGATACATCACGAATTATCCCCAAATATAAACATTTAAATAAAATGATAAACTTTAATATTAAAAATGGAATGGGATGAAAATGAGTGAGGTGAACTAAAACTTCTTTACTGAAATCTCCTATGTTCATTAAGAATGGCCCATCCATGGATGCACATATACCCACCCTTCAGTTTGTGAGACAGAGATGAGAGAGCAGAGGCAGGCCCAGCTACACCATAATTTTTGTATATGCGCTCACGAGAAGCAAGGCTGCGAGATGAAGTTTCTACAGTGGAAAACATTGGCAAAGAAGCAGCACAGATTCAATAGAAAAAAAAATGTAGCAGAGAACACAAGCAGAAACAAAGCATTTCAAATGATATGTGTGACTATTAACTGTTCTTAAAAAGTTTATATTCTGCTAAATTTTTCAACAAATTCATATTTCTCTAAAATTAAAACTGAAACAAAGGTCAAATTAATTAATTGGGATTAATAAAGATACCTCCAAATGTGTTACCTTTAAAATTAAGTAAGGCTCAAAGTTCTGCTAAGTCAAATTGGAACATTTCTTTTTAGATTATTACTTCTTCAACTTGATTTTCTTTAGTTTGGTCCTCATTCATTTATAAATAGAAGTTTATAAGTAAAAAAAATTCTTTTTGGTAAATATTAAGAGATAAATGTTACTTACAGTTTAACCTACTGCCACCTGGTTTTCTGTATGGACACATGCCTATCATTTTTCCAGTATGTATCTCAGAATGGACCCAAGTTGCATAAAAAATGGTTGATTACTTCTGAGTCCATCTTCAGTGAAAAATGTTAGTTCTAATCTCAGTAATCTTATTACTGAGATACCACACTTGTTTATTAAGTTTCAAAACACTAACAAAGCAAATTTATAAGTTACTGAAAATGTTAGACACATTTATGATTTACCATGCAAAAAAAAGAAATATTTAAACAATTTACCTTTTTGAAAGGATTAATAAAACCTTTAAAGTGTAATCTTTTAAAATCAGTATGCTAAAAAAAATCTAAATATTAAAAAAAATCCATTTTATTTA